TGGTAAGTGGTTAACTGAGTAGTTTAGACATTGACCTTGCTTATTAGACTGTGGATAGAATGCTTTACTAGTAGTATATAAATTTGCCCCTTGTAAGATTCAATGAGCTAGTTAGGCGCATCCAAAATGAACGCAAATTGGTCACCAAAATATCTTTAAAGAGGTTATTGCGCAAGAGGTAGTGATCTTGAATCACTTCATGTGAGGCGCACATGGTGGATTCCGTTGTATATACTTATCGCAAGAGTTGCTGATAAGGCTTATGTTTAGAATCTAGAATTACGCAAGCTGTGGTCATGTTTTTTTTTTTTTAAATCGATCACTTATTTGTTGTGAGATGATGAGATGTTGACACTATTATGGTTTGTGTCATAATGATTAGCATATGATGATGTCAGCAAGCAAGATTGGCTCACTCACACGAGCAATCACCCTTGGCGCTTGGGAGAGAGCAAGGATGAGACTAGTGGTTTATTTTTATTTGGAGCCAAGAGAGGCTTAAATTATCCACTATGTATGTCGCCTTGGTTATAACCAAGATGAGGTCGTGATAAGGACCAAACATGGATGTTAGTACCCACTTTTCATGTTGTGCCTGTTATGATTAACTAGATGTGAGATCTCATTTGGCGCTTGGAAGGCGAGCAAATAGAGAATTCGGGTTAGGCGCTAGAAAGTGACTAGACTAATATCTGTATGGTGTATCGAGTATGACGTCACTCTTTTTGGAAGAGTTACTCCACCGTAACATGTATTCATACTATATGTGCTTGGCGACCGAGTAATGAGGTGAGAGAATGGATCCCTGTTTCCTCACCGTGTGAGTCTTACGTGTCATTATTGATATGACTTTCATTTATGTACCCTTTTGTGACTTTTGACTATGTCATAAGGTAAAGGGTTGATGTTCTGCTACTTTGGTATGTTGCCTGCGGTCATGTATGATTCGGCCTTAAGGAACATCACTGGGAAAGCGGTCAATCATAAACTAAATGACATGAGGGCAAAGAGAAGATCATCTAGTATTGCACCACTGTTATATATTCATTGCCGGCAACTCACACCGCTCTGTACGAGAGGCGGATTGAGTGTGAATATATTGCAAGAATTGAGAGGGTCAAACATGCTCTTTTGAGGGACTAGAGATGTTTTTTGAACCAGTGTAATTAGATGGGTTTGGGGTATATGAGACACTATTTCTATTCTTTTTGGCTTGATGTCTCTATATTGGCTCATTTTGAGTTTCTAGTATAAAGCTCCCACATGCAGGTGTTTCTCAACGGTCGCACGGTTCATTGGCTAGTGTGTGATTGTTTAATATTTGTGGAGATTGAGATAGGGATGTGGCAGTGTCATGCCAGCTCATGTGCGAGTGGGAGATGTTAGAAATTGGGCGACCATGTGGCATGACCCTTTGAACCTTTTGAGCCTTATCCATGTAAGTTTGAATTATGAATTTAAAACTTATATGGATAACCACTCATGATATCTATATCTATCATATCAACTGATATGGATAGATTGATATATATTTATATATTACATTGATATCAGATATACATTATGTGGTTTTTACCCATAACCTTTTTTCCCAGACTCTCTCTCTAACTCTCTCCCATATGAGAACGATCCAGCCTCTGTATTGTGACTTGTGTGGGTGATACTCATATTGTAGTATCACTCCACTGCTGGTGTTCGTTGTTCGCATTATTAGAAGCACGTGATTTACCCACAAGATTCTTCGCTTCTGGTTCTAACACCTAAAGGTATGATCTGATATTTTTTACCTGCTGTGTTATACTTGTTTTTACAAACCCTATTTTTTGTGAATAACCATCTAAAGCCCCAAAACACAAAGCTGGCGATGTGGCAATCTTGGTGATGTGGCCTGGGGCAGAACCATAGAGAAGGAAGGTCTTCAGTTGAATGTTACAAAGCTGAGATTTGAGTTTGAAATTCTTAAGGAGCTTTTGAACTGAAGAGAGGTGCATAGAGGGGAGAGAATCTATTTAACCATTGAGCCACCGCTAGAACCATTGAGCCGAGCTATTTGTGGTTACATCTGCGTTGGTGGTTATGGAGGGGATGTGATAGTGGCTAGTTAGGGAGACAGTTGGCAAGCTCATAGGTTGAGGCGGCTATTGGTATTAATACCTAAAACACAAAAAATAAAATCGCATAGAGTGAGATAAATTGACCAAGGAACAAATATATAATTTAGAGAAAAAAATGCTAATGTTTAGTACTAAAAAAAATGCTAATATTCACATAGTAGGCAATGAACTTTCTCATTGCTCAAAAGTATCTATGAAGATTTAAACAATTTGGCTTATTTTCTTGGTTCTTGATCTATTAGGAGGCTGAACAAAAAATAAATAATGCGTATAATTAACACTTATCCTTGTAGCATATTCAAAGTGATTTCTTTTGAAATAAAATGATGAAAGGTGGATGGAATAGGGGAAACTATAGGAATGGAATTTAAAATAAACAAACAAACAAACAAACAAATGAATTGGGGTAATTCGCTATACTCTCTTCCATATATAAGGTAAATGAAATATTCGTTGCCTTTAATAACTTGGGATTTTTGATGAAAAGCCCCTTCTATGGAGGCATTTTTGTGTGAAGCCCACCGAATAAAATAATAGTTTCAAAAGTCCCTCAAATAAAAAAATATGATGAAAAAGGCTGAAATGCCCTTCCATATAATCCAAAACCCTCGCTGAACCATTTTTCTTCTTTTCTATCTCTACATTACAGGTATCCTCTCTCTTTCCTTTATTTTCTCTCTTTCTAAACCCTAAACCCTTTTGATCTCCATTTTTTATCCATCTCACAAAATCAAAATCTTGAAATCCATCACCATCTCAGATTTGATGCCTATGAACTCATGTTTGAGATCAATAATTTCAGATCTGAGATAAAATGACTTCATATATGTCAAAAAAATGATAAATTGATATATTACAATAAAAAATTGAGAGTTTTTTGTTTGTTTGTTATTGATCTAAAGTAAAATTCGACTATAATTCATTTATCTAGCATGTACTCTATTTTTACAGCAGTAAAATTTTACTCTGGTTAATGAAAAATAAAGTTTATTCTCTTATGCATAGACAAACATTCAACAACACAGTAAAATTTTACTTTAAGATTCAGAGTAAATTTTACTCTGAAATACAGTAAAATTACCTAAAAAACAAATCAGAAACTGCATAGACAAACATTCAACAACACATTAAAATATTACTTTCAATTCAGAGTAAATTTTACTCTGAAATACAGTAAAATTTTACTTGAAGATTCAGAGTAAATTTTACTCTGAAGATTTAGAGTAAATTTTACCAGAAAACAAATCAGAAACTGCATAGACAAACATTTAACAACACAGTAAAATTTTACTTTCAATTCAGAGTAAATTTTACTCTGAAATACAGTAAAATTACCTAAAAAACAAATCAGAAACTGCATAGACAAACATTCAACAACACATTAAAATTTTACTTGAAGATTCAGAGTAAATTTTACTCTAAAGATTTAGAGTAAATTTTACCAGAAAACAAATCAGAAACTGCATAGACAAACATTTAACAACACAGTAAAATTTTACTTTCAATTCAGAGTAAATTATACTCTGAAATAAAGTAAAATTTTACTTGCATGTTAAGAAAACAGAACAGATAACACAAGAGTAAAATTTTACTCTCATTTTATTAAACAAAAACAGAGCACATACCAGAGTAAAATTTTACTCTCATTCTGTCAAACAAAAACAGAGCATAAACCAGAGTAAAATTTTACTTTCATTATGTCAAACAAAAATAGAGCACACACCTGATTGAACTCGACAAATCAACAAAAACAAATAAAAAATAACAATAGATTTATACAACTTTGCAACATAATCTCTCATTTAATTGAGAGCGTTGATCTTTGATGGCGAGATTGTATATTGTTGACCAAGGGTGAGATCGTTGGCGATGAGATCTTCAGACTTTGAGATCGTCTTCATGGATTTCGCAGATCATCTTCACTTCACAGATCGTCTTCAAGATCGGTGTATGCATGAGCTGAGATTGTTCAAATATATGATATATATATATGAGGGCAATATGGCCAAAAAAAACAAAAACAAATTATAGAATGTCGTTATTGAGTTGGGCTTCTCTTACCCAGGTGTTTTTTGAAGGAGAATTCATTGAGTTGTCCTTTATCTTAAAAAAAGGCCCAAAAAAGGGGGTTTCACCAAAAATTCCTGGTAACTTCTATTAGAGAGTCTACACCCAATATGGAATACCCACATTGCAATGTAAAGCTTATAATTACATAAATGTTCCACTAGGCCAATCTGAACAATGGATAAACAAATAATCACTACAACAAATTATATTTTTGGCGACTAAAATGTTAGTCACCAAAAGTCATTTTTTTGGTGGCCAAATATTTTTACCGACTAAAATTCTTGTTCGCTCGTTTGGTTGTTGACTGATTGTCGGCAAAAGAATTGGTGACTAATTTTTTTTTAGTCGTCGAAAGTTTCCAATTAGCGACTAAAAATTTAGTCGCCCAAAAGAAAATATTTAGTCGCAATTTTTTTTTTTCATCTTAATCTTTTTAGCTACTAATTTTTTAGTTGCTAAAAACTTTATTCCTTTTTGGCTACCAATTTTTTAGTCACTAAAATCATGGTACTCCCTTTCAGCTACTAATTTTTTAGTAGCCAAAAATTTTCATTTTTTTTTTTGGCTACTAACTGTTTAGTCGCCAATATGTTCCCTTTTTATTTTTTGACTACTAAATGTTTAGTCGCCAAAAGCTCAATTTATTAATTTTTTTTTTAAATGCACAAATTGAATATTTTTCATTGATTTCTAAATTATATGCATTCCATTATCAATGCAACCTGTAACCTGTACATATATAGAATAATACATCTATCAATTATAATCCAAATCTATTATCAATAATATCCATTTTATTATCAACTACCCAAAAGCTTTAACTTGTAACACCTTATTGCAAGTATCATATAAATCCATTCTAACCAAGTATAATCCATCTAAATTAAATATTACATACAAAAACACTCTATTTCCAAAACAAAGAATTGTACAAAAATAGATGTCTTCCATATACAGAATAAATGCTCTTCGTATACAAAAATAAAAATCCACAATAGCTCATGCAAAAGCAATCTGTAAAAAAAATAAAAAACCATTAGCACTTATTCAATAAAATTGACATTTCAAATTATAATAATTATAAAATTAATAATTCTAATATATTACACCCTACAAATTATACCAATTATGACAATTTAGTAGTGGACAATTATAACAATTAATAAATTAGGACAGCATTGGACTAATTTAATAATTATTAGAATGTTATCTATGGGATTCACAATGAAAATCAAGCAACTGGAATATTTACTATATAATTCTCCATTGAGTTGAAAGAGCACATTCTCCATTGAATGTGCTCATTCTCCGCTGAAATGAAAGAGCACATAGATATATATACACACAAAAACATGTATTCAAAAGATAGAATATAAGTTGTAAATTAACCCGCTCAAGGTCACCAGTGGCATAGTCACAGAATAGCAAATAACCATTTGGCTGGAAAAAGTAAAGTTGAAATCACATTACGAGATCATAATAGTAATATCAATTACAGATTTTCAAAATTTCATAGTGGTATTTACTAATCATTACCTTAAGAAGTTTTCTGATATTCAGCAACACCAGTGGCATCTTCTCAGGGAACACAACAGATAACACAAATATCTGCTTAAAAAGTCAGCTAGGTAACAACAAACATTACAGGAAAATCAAGTAAACTCAAGATCTGAAGCAAATGCTAAATGAAGCACTCCTAGAAGAGGATATTCGACAACACTATATTTGACAACACCAGTGGCATCTTAGTCTTATGTTTATATAAATAGATATCTCCAACTTCAAAATTATCTATACACAGCTCATCCTCATCACCACTATCATCTATTACATTCAGAAATGGAGGGAACAGTTACAGACTCTGCTAGTATTGCTTCTTTAGTAGATTACATCAAAAATAAATTCGGAAAGTTCAACATATTGGTAAGATTGGAAACAAACTAAATTGATTGAAACTAATTTTATCTATAGCTATCTAATGGGTAATTTGTTCACTAGCATGTATGGATGTAAATTCTTGGCAGGTGAACAATGCAGGGGTCAATGGAGTCATAATGGATGCGGAGTCTTTTACTAGTAGTGGGTTGGAGTAAGGATGCACCTAATTAATGGCACCAACAGTAAAAAAATTGGAATACAGAAAATGATATGTTCTCTCTGTTAATTTTTTAAAATGATTTACTGAGTCCAAAATCGAGGCAATAAGTTGACATAAAATATTTTTGAACCAAAATGGTATCCATGAATGTCTCATCAAGTGCAACGATCTTATGCGTAATTTCAGAAGGATTTTCCACAATATAACCATTATTCTCAAGTTTGGTCCTATTCTTAGGAGATGAATTTGGACAAACAAAAAGTAGTGAAACTTTCATGTGAGATGAATAAAGAATTAAAAAAAAAATGTTCATCCAATGCCATATTTCTCTGCCCAAATACTGACATATTGAACAGATTTTCCGATAAAAATTTATTCTAATTACCAGGAGGAACTATTTGCAAAGCTGTCTGCAACTCATGCCGATCTCTGCTTGCATTGGTATGCGAGTAATAAATTACTCTCATATACGCCACCTCCATGCATTTGTAGGCCAGAGCAGCAGCAGCAATGTCCTTGGATTTCTCATATTCATGAGCACAAAACCTATCAATTTAAGAATGAATAGCAAGAAGACAAAGGAGAGGAAAATTGCATAAGCTTTTCACATTGCACGAAGAAGAAATCATCCATCAAAAATACAAGTAAAAGTTACTTTCTACCCTTCGTTTCAAATACAGTTCTGTAAAGAGTGATGCATTACAAATAGTGGGAAATGATCCATTACCACGGCGAATATATAGGAAAAATTCCTTTCCCCGAACTGGTTGAACAATATATGCACATGGTTATAAGAGAGGGTATAATGGAACTATAAAATACTTAGAGAAGAAAATATAGAAAACAGTTGTGAATCCCAGAATGAGGTTTAGGGAATGCCTGTTCAGGTGGAGTGGCATTTTGAGCATTTTGACCTTAGTTGAAATATGCATTTTGACCTTAGTTGAAATATATAGAATCGCACTTTAAGATATAGGAAAGGGAGGAACAAAACCTCAACACAAGTTCAAGTATCTAGATTTCCAAACACACTAGTACACACATATGCTTCTTGGACAGATTGTCACTGAGACAATTCTACAAACCACTTTAAACAAATCACAAAAAAAGCATACATCCCAACGAGAAAAAGGTTGCTGATAGAGCTTTGAGTATTACTTACTCACAGAGTTTTGCTGTGCTACTACACATTTGCATTGACCGAATCATCTCGCCTTGCTTGGCACTCTCGCCATTGCTAGATTCCAATAAAGAGGCTCCATGAAGAAACTTAAGGGCTGCCTGGAAGTAAAGACCTGTACTTTCAACAATTAATCCAGAATTCTGCAAAAGATACCCAAGTAGTGCCAAGAGTTAGGAAGATGAATAAACCAATTCCACAGTTGAAGAGGGGAAAAAATCTAGCGACCTTAAGGCGATCAGCCGAGTGTTTAAGATCCTTTGCCTCCTTTACAATCTTAGTGGTAGCCTAACAGGAGGAATCTCTTCTGGCAGGAATTGTGGCATCCGCATCCCTGACCCTATGGCCATTAATTGTTGGTTGTCTTGATCTAATCGGCTGATTTCCATTCTGGTTCTCAGACCTTTTTGTGTGTTTTGAAGCCTTCAATGCATCATCACCCTCAGAAGCATCAATTAACAAACTATTTACTCCATTCTTGAGCTCTATAGAGAGAGATTAACAAACTATTTCATCAATTAACAAGCTCTATATAGAGATTCTTGAGCTCTTCATTAGACTAAATATGTTACTACTTTGATTTGAACCTCTACAGCTAGAGGGAAAAAATCCAGAAAAAGTTATGGCATTTGACTTGAGCAAAAGTTGCCACCACTCTAAAAGAGTCGAGAGAATAATATATTAGTTGTGGACATGCATTGTCCATTGACTGTTGCTTCAAGCTCTGCTGCAAACACATTCCGAAGGACTTAGAAGACAAGCAGAAGTTCAATTCAAATAAAGTTCATAATGCCTTTTTATATTGGTGTGGAAACAGGTGGTACAACCATGAGATGTCTCTTTAGAGGTTTTAACCAAAGTAACTTTCTTTGGTGGCCAAGGTAAACAGGGTTGGGATCACAAAATATTTATTAATTTCTAAGTGTAGTTCATAGTGTTATTTTATTGGGGTAGTTTTTTTGTGGAATTAAAATCCATTATTCATACTAATAAAGAAACATAATTTCAAAAGAGGAAATGGTCTCCTGAGCTTTCAAGTAATGTTTTTAATAAATATATGTTATTGCACCCTTTCAACTGCCAACCAAAATTCTCATTTCAATGTTCATATTCCTAATTTGTATGTAGTGTGGAAGTCAAAACGGACGATGCTCCCTAATTAATAATTATATGTAGCTTGTATGACATAAATTCCTATCGGTATTGGTAAATGGAGATAATTGTGTGCTATAATGAAAGAGTAAAATTCATAAGGATTAATACAAACAAAACTTGGAAGAAAAAGAATGCCAAAAGGAAAACTCAATGTGAACTTTTTTGCAGGGAACAAAATACAACAACAATTGCAGAAGAAAAAAAAAACAAAAAACAAAAAGAGCAAATAATATTGAAAAAATCAATCATATTCTTACCTCCCCTTACTGATAAGCTGTAGGCCTCCAAAAAAACAACAACAGCAAACAAATAAACCTACAAAAACAATAAATGATAATGAAAAACAAAACAAAAACTACAAGAAATATATATATATATATAGTTTGCAGGAAGGGAACAAAAATTGCATATTTTCTATTTCTATTTTCATAGGCATATTATCAAACAGGTAGTATGCATAGGAAGAGGCTTTGCCATGAAGAGAATTTATGAGTTATTTTAGTGAGGCATATTATCAAACAATTGGTATGCATAAGTTATCCACACATTAACAAACACGAAAAACATACAAATCAGATATGAACATCTCAGTTGAAGACAAACAATGAGCATAAACATCGCCAACATGTATTGCAAGAAGACATAAGACAGGAAAATACACCGAGAGAGAGAAGATGAGCATACCAATTATTTTGTTTGCTACATGGTGGATGGCCTTGAGTATAGTGGATGGCGGTGGACGTGCAGTTCTCTACATTTATTCTTCGTTCGACTGATGAGAATGAGTCGTTTACGTAGCACACCATCGATGCTGCCAGTTGTCTTTCGTGAGACCACGTGGCTGATAGATTGCAAGCCCATACGGCTTTAAATTTGCATCAATGCACCAAGGATCCTTTAGAGTGAAATTTCCCTCACTCCCTAAAGTTTCCTAGAGTATTACATTGTGTGGTTGAGATTTACTGGCAAGTCACATCAGAAAAATTGATGTGACTTGTCAGTAAATCTCAACCACACAATGTAGCACTCTAGGAAACTTTAAGAAAAAACCACTCTAGAGGATCCTTGCTCGCATCAATGGCCGTGGGCGTGCTGGGCGGTAGCGGATCCTCTAGAGTAATCCTCTACAGAATGATCTCCTAAAGTGGATAATCGGACGGATCTGCTTAATACTCACCAAAACAACGACGTCGTTTTGGTGAGTATTTTGAAAGAACAAAACAGAATCAGGGATTTCAAAAGGCATTTCAAAATTCCTTTTGACATGTATACAGACGGAGTGCGAAGGAGTTCAAAATTCCTTTCGAGAGTGCGAAGGAGTTCAAAGGAGTGTTTGGGGTTCAAAGGACGAACGGCGGCAGAGGCAGACGAAGCACAACGGAGGACGGAGGACGACGAACCACGACGGAGGACGGAGGACGAACGGGAATCTGAGGTAAACCTGAAATCGCAAAGTTAGGGTTGGATTTTGTTTGCTATTTCGTGTTAGGGTTTGGGATTTCAGCAAAATAAGGGTCTGTGAGGATTTTGAGGAATGTTTTGCAAACACATCTGCAACAGAGTATGGTCTTTGGAGAGTTCCTTCAGAGTATGTCATATATTAAGTGTATAGGCAGTTAAAGTAAACCAAAACTAAGTAAACTTTCTGCTGTTGTGGTATGATCCTGTTCCTTCATTAGTTGTCTTGTGTTTTCTTCCTTTTTTGCATCCTTTTATGTCCATTCTCTACTTGCTGGATCCAGAAATCTGTAGCACAGGCAAAAAAAATTATTAGAACTGTACCTTTTTAGCTCAAAGTTTTTCTTCCTTTTTTTTTTTTTTTTAAAATCAAAATGAACATTAATATTGCCTACTTACCCACTCTATTGAAATAGGCACTGTTATCCAAAATTTCATACATGTTTGCATTTTGTGGAAGGAGCATGCTTTGAATCACATCAAACACTGTAAAAACAAGAATGCTAACTAGATCCAAACAATCTATTGAAATACATGGTATGATCCTGTTGAAATAGCCATTTTTTGAAATAGCCACCAAACTAAACAATCTACTTACCCACTCTATTGAAATAGCCATTTTTTTTTTTGCATGATCCTGTTATGTTGCATTACATGGAATGATCCAAACAATCAACTCCATTGCTTTCAAAGAGAGAACTGAATCCAGACAAAAGCTTCACCCAATAGAGTGTAAACTGTTAAAAGTAGACTAGTGTGGTTTTTAAATTTATAAAGCGAAAACCCAACCCTGGAATCCAACAGTGCCTCTTCTCTCTCTCTAAATTATTAATTGGTTCTAAGACATCACATAACTATGTTTCAGATTAATCATAAATTTTCATATCTCTTCATATTTTTAATTATTTAATACAAAATTATAAATTTTACTCTTTTTCATTAACACAATGAATATAAACCATTCACACTACACCACACCTGAGCCAAACAAATAACTTCTCTCTTTCTACTAGAATGGTTAGTCATTTACTACAACTACAACTATCTCCATGGAATAGGCAAATCACTTTGAAAATATATATAATATAATAATATAATTTAAAAAAAAAAAAATGTATTTTGACTCTAGTGTCTACACATATTAAGTGAAGCAAGAAGCTTCCATTCTTTTTTGCCCCTTTCTCTTTATAGAAGAAAGAATAGTTTTTATGTAATACAGCTATAGTCCTACTCTCTTTCTATTTTCTTGCATTGGAATTCTCAAGTTCGGATATCTGAAAGAATAGTTTTTATGCAATACAGCTATAGTCCTTTATTGATTAACTGATTCTTGTCCATTGTAGACTACGAACGAGCACTGCAATTACTTCAGGTGGTTCGCAGATGATGACGACGCCGACAACAACATTACCTCATCAATCCGTGCCAATGCTGGACCTCCGACAGATTCAAGAACAGAAGAAATTAATGATCTAAGGAGAAGGGTTGGTGAGCATGATAGAAGGCTTCAAAGGATTGAGAAGATTTTCAAGGCAATGACTTATGTCATTGTATTTTGTGTATTTTTGTACTTTATCATGTAAATGACTCAGTTCTTAGGTTTTGGAAAATTTTTTTGGTGCTTAAAAATCTGATGGTTTGCAAAAACAAGTGTGTAACATGTTTGATTGAGATGAAATGTTGAATGAACAGTTTCTGAAATCTATTACTTTAGGTTGAATGTTGTATAGCAGGTTTTTGAAATGTTGTATAATGTTGAATGTTGAAATGTTGAATAATATTGAAATGTTGAAAATGTTGTATAACAAGTTTTTGAAATCTATTGAAAATGTTGAAAATGTTGTATAACAAGTTTTTGAAATCTATTGAAAATGTTGAAAATGTTGTATAACAAGTTTTTGAAATCTATTGAAAATGTTGAAAATGTTGTATAACAAGTTTTTGAAATCTATTGAAAATGTTGAAAATGTTGTATAACAAGTTTTTGAAATCTATTGAAAATGTTGAAAATGTTGTATAACAAGTTTTTGAAATCTATTGAAAATGTTGAAAATGTTGTATAACAAGTTTTTGAAATCTATTGAAAATGTTGAAAATGTTGTATAACAAGTTTTTGAAATCTATTGAAAATGTTGAAAATGTTGTATAACAAGTTTTTGAAATCTATTGAAAATGTTGGACTATTTGAGGTTTGCGAGTGATAACTACTTGCATTGTTAAGCAATGCTTGATAGGTTCCATGGCCGGAATACATCGATGGCATTGAAAAATGCATATTGTGATGAAGAAAACTTGGCTGCAACAATAACAAACCCAACCTTCCTCCATAAGTATTATAGAAATCATATGCTTCTTGTTCTGTATCAAATGTCATGTGAACTCTAGGCTTCCAATCACACTCACCCCCATCATTCTCATGATTGTTAGGTTCCATATCAATGTGCCAAGTCACTTAAAAAATAAAGAAGTGCTCAGTATTAGCATAAAAGCTGTAACTTATGTTTGCAAAATAATACAAACTGAATAAGATAATCAACGAAGAACAAATTGAATAATACAAACTAAATTATGGTCTTTGTTATGTATCACAATGTGGTTTTCATTAAGATGTTCACTACAGCAGGTATTCATTGTTAAATTCAGAAGAAAAAAAAAAATTGAATTTGCACTATATATGTTGCTTAATATATGTTCACTATCCAGACAACATGAGCATACAAAACTGAAATGGAATGGAATGTCATCGAGTAGCAAATTAGTGAAAGCCATGTACTACTCCCAAAACCAAGATAGAGAAAGAAAATAAGAAGATATGCATCTAAGGTTGTATGTATATGCGCGCATGTGCAAGTAAGAGAGTCAAATGAAGCTGACAGACACTGAAAATCGCAAGCAGAAATTATCATTTCTACTACTTTTTTTTCCCAACTTGTTTGTTACATTACCCAATTCAAAAAATCTGTATCGTAACTTTTTTCAACATTTTCAAAAAACCTGTTGTATGATAACATTCAACATTTCAACATTTCAACATTCAAATTATCATTTCAACATTTCAACTTTCAACATTCAACACAATGTTATCATTGAATCTGTATCATAACTTTCAACATTTCAACTTTTTTTAAATCTGTATCACTGAAATGTTGAATGTTGAATGTTATCATTTCAACATTTCAACTTTTTTCAACATATTGAGATGAAATATGTTGAATGTTATCATAACCAAAAAATGAAAATTTCAAATAAATCAACACCTGCATAAACAAATCGAAATACCTAAGTTGGACATCCACCTCTCAATGGAGTATGTTCGAACTTAAAACATATATTTAAACATTGTATGTTCTAAATACCTATTTTCTTCAATCGGTTGGAGCAGGGGCAACGGCCACGGCGGCGGCAGGACAGTGGCGACGGCACGACGGCGGCGACAGGGGGGGAACTACGACGATGGGGCAACGGGATGCACGACGGAGCAGCCTCTCTAACTCTTCTTCCTTCTCTCCTTCTTTCGTTGTTTTGCTTCTTCCCGCTTGTCTGTATAGTTCTTCAGCCTGGGGGGAATTTTGAAATCGGAAAATTTGGTTTTTTTTTTTTTTTTTCAAAATACTCACCAAAACGACGTCGTTTTGGTGAGTATTAAGCAGAGCCGTCCGATTATCCACTTTAGGAGATCACTCTAGAGGATTACTCTAGAGGATCCGCTCGCGGGTGAACCAGGTAATTTGAGAGAGTTTTAAGGATACTGAAGTCATACGAAGCGCTAGATTCACCATAAGGTTTTCACGCTTTTTATATATGGTTATAGATACAAAATAACAATAATAATAATCTTATATATACATATAATATTTATTTATATGAATCAATGTAATAAATAAAAAATCAGAAAACAACCATTTAATAATGTTAGGGACCAAACATAACAAATTGATCAAGAAATAAATATTCTAGGTGTAACATAGAAAACTAAAATTTAATTTATATCGTATATTCTAATTTTCTTTTGTCACTTTTTAAATTACTTTTATAGATTCTTTTAATTTTTTTTTTCATAAGAATTACACGGTGACTAATTGATCTGTTTAATCTTTTACAAAATAATATTATATTCTGACAGAAAACATTTATGTTTTAATTTAAGAAGTGATATTTACATTTTAACTTCTCTTATAATTTCTTTTCATTTTTTGTTCTGTAAATATTGTTCCTTTAAATTTTTATTATTTTATATGATATGATTTTTTTTCTAAAGCAGAAATTGAATCATGTGAAATATTGGGTTCATGATATTTATTTAACAAACTTCTCTTAATATTGGGTTCGTAATAATTATTTAACAAATTTGAAAAAAACAAAAACAAAATATAAGCTACTTGTAAAACATTGAAATTAATATAAAGGACCTGTTACAGTGTGCAACCCCTCAAGGGTTGCACATGATATGCAACTTTATTATTGGCTATTGGATTACATAAATAGATCATGACTATTGAATTCTTTAATTTTGAAAAATTGGACACCGGAGCAACCGGTTGACCCATCTCTATTCTCTCTTCTTCCACAGTGCATTCTCTCTATACTTTCACTTTCGTGTCTCTCTCTGTGTCGCCCCCCCTCTCTCTCTCTCTCTCTGTTACCCTCTCTCTACTGCACTCATTCCTCTCTCTTTCTCTGTCTCGCCTGAATGGCCGAAGTGGTTGTTCTGTTTAAAACCCTAATCTAACCCAGTGAGCCTCTGTTTGGTTTCTAAGAAAAGAAAGGATTTGTTTTTTTGAAGAGCAATCAACAAGGTACGCCTCCCTCTGATTATTTCAGAAACCCTCCCTCTTCGTCCCCATTTTTTGCTCTGTTTTCTCTCTCTGAATTTGTATTCCAGTCTGTCCTGGCTCACACTGATTTGAAATTTGTACGAATGAAGCAAGGCTTTGTAAGGATGTTATTCTATTTTGCTATTTATATATCTCGGTTGACATTTGTAATGAAATAATCCATTTTTACATTAATTAATATAGTATTTTGTAACCATTTTGTTGCTTCCATGACTTGTTCTTGATTTGTTGCAAAATATTGCATCTTATTTTGGCATTAAAATTATAGGGCTAAATTATGTTATTTGAATTTTGATTGCATTTAAGATGTTTGTAAAAATGCCTAGTTTGTTAGCAATTTAAACAAAAGTATTTTGGAACTATATTTTCATTGCATTTAGATGTTGTTGAAAACTTGTGATTGATTTAACATGTTCTTCGAAGATTTATCCCAAAATATATTTACTGATATTCACATGAAGCAGCTATAACTTGTGGTTGGGACCTCCCAATTTGTAAGTTAGGGCAAATAGTTATTCCAAGTGTTTTTAGTAATGTGTAGTTCTTATTGTTCTAGTTGAATTAAATAGCCATCTGAATTAAATCTTTTGTTTGATTGGTTTTTAAATATATATATGTATTGAAAAGCCAATGTAGTTCACATACAATAGAAATACTTCCAAAAATGCTAATCAAAGTAGTGCTTGAACTTCACTTGTATCCTTCTTTAAGCATGAGCAGTTGACAAGATAACGAGAAAGTGACTCTAACCAACAAAACAACTTTGAAAAGCTAAAAAGAATTGAAGTATATGATTTTAAATTTTAGCTAAAAAGTAGTCAACGTTGAGCTTATGCTTAATAAAATGAATTTCCGCATCCTTTTTCCAAAGTATATTGGTGCTAAGAAAATCCATGAATTATTATCTTCCCTCTAAGCATGGAGGCTTTCCTAGCAACCATGAAAGATTAGTGCGAAACTTTAGAATTGAGTAGTGGGTAGGTAGTGTGAGAAAGGGAAAATTTTGAATTTTTCTTCCCTTGTTTGTTTGCATGATAAATTTGTCATGATAATGTTGGAAAATGTAAGATTGTTAAATTTTGTGTACAATCCATAGCAACATGGTAAGTTGCTTTTCAATTTCTCGCAAAATATACATAAATGTTTCTTGCAAAAAACAAAGAATGTTTTTTTTCACTATTTTGTCACTTTTGATTTCCTATCTAAACATGCAGCTTTTTACACTTGGTTAATTTTGACCTAACGAACTGTACTTTGTTTTTCGAGTAACATTCTTATGATAAGAGATGTGCATAGTAGCATTTCCTTTATATATGTGTATTATATAATTATAAAATTTATCTTATAAATGCTATATTTTTTGGGACAAGTATCTTAGATGATTGGTTTTAGTTGGATTGTTTATATACATATGCCTAAGAGGAGGGACAAATATCATCAGGATAGTGTAATTTAGTAATTTCAATTTGGGGACCTACATCCCAAGGACATTAGGGCTGCAATTAATAAATCAATAAGAAGGCAATTATGTTTATTCACTAAAAGAATTACCTTGGAAACAAGCAGCCTAATTGAAATTGAAAGTAAAAAAACATATTTTATAAACTATTACTCAAATTGAATTTTTTTGATCTGTCCTTTGACAATTCCAATTCCAATTCCATTTCAAGATTGTATAATATAACTTTTTGTAGAAGATCAATATATGTATGCATTACTTCTAGAGGCTTTAGTCTTACTAGAAGGAAATCTAGTGTAATTATGCCAAATTTGTGAGGTTTATGGTAATTTACCAAATTAAATTGTGAATGAATGACTTTTTTTTTTTGAACTAGTGAATGAATGACTCTGATCCACGATAATTAATGGATCTTTCCTATGGTTATGGTTGAAGAGTTCAATTGCAGGGTCACATGAAAAAAAAAATGTAAAAGCCTTCCATGTTACTAAATTTTTGTCTTGTATTGTCTTCAAGGTAGAGATTTTATAAGTTCGTAAAATATACAAAGCAAGGATGTCTCTCATTGTTATTTACACGTAAAATGAGTTTGTCTCTACTGGCTTTGACAAAGAGTTTGCAAGAGGGGAGTTGTTGTATTGTGCAAGGCTTGAAACTTGCATACCATATGCAAGTTAATTTTCAGCCATTGGATTTGATTGAATTAATCTAAACCCTTCAATATTTTATATAGTTTATACCATTTACCTGCTAAACTAGTTGAAACTTTCCCAGCCATTCTCTCTACTTCATCAGTCACGTTTCTCTCTCTCTGGTTTGCCTAAACAGGACTCCCCTCTCTCTTTTCCAGTCGTTCCACGAATGGAGATCGAAGTCGCAGGCTATGCAATGATTTGAAGAGGTATTCACCCAAAAAAAGGATTGAAGAGGTATGACTATAATAACCCTAAAATTTTCTCCCCCTTGCTACTAATTTATGGTTTCTCCCTCTCTTTCTCTGATTTCTCAATCCGTGCTCTTGCTCTTTATCATCTCTCACACTCGGCTCTTGCTTTCGAAGGCTTCTTGAAGATCTCTATCTTCTCCAGTAGCTTATTTGTTTTAAAGAGTTCTCATTGAAGAGGTATGGCTTGAAATCCTTGGTTGTTTAGTGGTGAGTCTCCCCCCCTTTGTTCAATCTATTATTTTTATAGGTTAAAAATGGGTGGAAGCTCAGCACTTGTCCAAAGGTGGGCGGCTCACTTTGATCAATAGTGTCCTATCCAGTATGGGATGGTTAGAGGGGGGTGGTGTTCAAATCGGGTCAGTCAATCACATGGTTGTAGTTTGTGGAAGGGGATTTGGTTGGGTAGGAAGACCTTTTCGGATAGGGTTTGATTTAAAGTGGCGATGGGGGATCGGGTTCGCTTCTAGGAAGATAGGTGGTGTGGCGAGTTGTCTTTGGCGGCTATGTTTCCACTGATTTTTGCTATTGCCGCTGATGTGGAGGAGTTGGTTGCTTTGGTTCGGGTGCGGCAAGGGCAATCATACACGTGGAATCTTCATCTACGTCGTAATGTGCAAGATTGGAAGTTGGACCAATTGGTGGGTTTGTTGGGTTTTTTGTATGAGTTGCAGTTTGGAGGGGATGGGGAGGATACTTTATCATGGGAGGCTCCGAGGGCTAAAGGGATTTTTTTGGTGTCGTCGTTTTATGGGATGCTTGAAGGGGGAGGAGTTGGGGTGTTCCCTTGGAAGAACATTTGGGCGGTGGGATCACCGTCCCAGGTTGCCTTCTTTGTTTAGACAGCTGTTTTGGGTCACATTCTGACTATTGATAACTTAATTGAGCGACAGCATGTGTTGGTTAATTGGTGTTTTATGTGTTGCAGGGATGCGGAAACCGTCAATCAATTGTTTATCCATTGCTTGGTTGTGTTTCGGCTTTGGAATTTGATTGTTGCTTTATTTGGTTTGGTTTGGGTGCAGCCGGGGTTTGTGTTGAGTGTTCTATAAAGTTGGGGTGGGGCTAGGATGGGCAAGAGGCGTCGAAAGGCTTGGGTATTTGCTTCTCATTGTTTGTTTTGGTTGATCTGGTTGGAGTGCAATAGGCGGGTTTTTCAAGATTTGAGTCAGTCGGCTCTTTGGTTAGAAATTAGTTTACTTTTGGTTTTGTATAGTTGGGTAAAGGGTTTGGTGGATCATGATGTTTTGACTTTTGTTGATTTTGTGGAAGATTTGAATAGTTAGTTTTGCGCCCATGGGGTGTTGGTTTCCCTTTTGTATTATTTGCATCATCTTGATGCTTTCTTAGTAAAATTTGTTTATTGATCAAAAAAAAAAAATAAAATGTCACTCAAGTCGTTATTGTTGTACGTTGTGTAGATTGGAAGTTGCTTATATGAAAAATAAATATGTGGAATATTTGAACTAAAAGAAAAATGTGCATAATGAAAAACTTCTTGCAAAGTGTTGGAATCCCATATTGTCAAAACCAAAATTAATCTCTAATTGTCTTTTTATATTTACAAATACTATAAATTGCAGGTTTTTTTTTTTTTTTTTTGGGTCTGTTGCTATCTTATTTTTTAAAAAATAAAAATCCTCATTGAAATTGCTGATGCTTTTGTTGTCCCATTTTCTTATATGTGTGCTTATTTTTTTTAATATTGTTCAGTTATTAAGGGAAAACATTTGTGCTAATTTTTTGTGAAGTATTTTAGAACAAGTAGTAAAACTATGAGGAAACCATGTGAAAAACTATGTGTATGGTAGCGAGTGGTGATACTTGACTAATCAAGATACTGAATGTGATTTCAAAATAGCGAACATTAATATTTTTTCTCTTTGAAGTAAGACTTTATTTTAATTTTAATTTTTCGTTTTTGTTTCAGGTATCGATATTGGCAACAGTTGATGGCTATTGGATGACTTTCAAATTCTTTTAATTTGGCTCCTTTTTAGGGCAATAGTTTTGATTCTAAATTTGTCTTTAATTTATGTAATTATGACTTTTGCATTCATTTCACAAATCACAAGTGTCGTGAATGATTTTTGGGTAGTGTTTGGGTGTGCAACCCAAAGGGAGTTGGACACCATATGCACCTTAATTCTAAACTATTAGATTACTTAAATTTGATCTTAATAATGGCGAAAAATAGGCAACCGGGTTAACCGGTTATCCTTTAGCTCTCCCCTTTACTCTTAGCCTCACTCTTTTGTTTCTCACTCTATTGCTCTCCCTCCGTTGGCTTTCCCTCAGCTGCTCTCACTCCAGTGGCGAAGGAGATACTCAGGGACCACCGCAGCCATTGATAGCAGGCTCGAAGCTCTCAGTTTCAAGAACATCGGTCCGCTCAGATTCGTATGATCGAAGAGAGTCTCCGATTTGCCAGTGTTCGTGGTGCGTTCTAATTTCTTATATCTTTTTTTCTATCTGAATATATTTTGATGATCTGATTTGATTTCATTTAAATAAACAAGACATTCTTATATTTTCAATTGTTTTGTTGAATCCACGATGGAATGCGAAGGTGATTACATCTGTGGCTGGAGGATTTTGCTGCATTCGTTCTTGGTGCAAAATCCCTTGGACTTTGCCTGTCGAAGCCCTAGGTCACCGCTCTCTCTCTCTCTCTCTCTCTCTGTATTTCCTAAAATCTAGTATATATTTTGGTCCATTTTGTGAGCCTTATTCTGGTTATGCTTGTGTTAATATATAAATTTGCATATTCTTTTGCTCATATTCTTTCTCTCATTGCATTATGTGAACTTTAGTTGTTGATTTTTGCTCCTCTAAAATTCATTGTTTGTGGGGGTGAAGCCCATATCACCTATTTATTATAATTTTCACTAACCCTTCATTTTGGCTAAAAGTAGAGAGAAAAGAGAATATTTGAATTTTTGATATGAGTTGTTGGCTTTTTAGCTAATTTAGTAACTTTTTGACTTTTTGGCTAAAAATGAGGGTTCCCAAACGAGGCCTGAGTTGTAATATGCTTACTTGTGCAGATTTTATTTTATTTTTTTTTGTTAAATTTTTCATATTCTAAACTTGAACTTTTGTGCTTTTCTCATATTTTCTCTGCAATCTAACACAACATATATATATATATATATATATTTAACTGTTTACTTGGGAATTAAGCAATTTTATGATGTTAGAGAAGATGTTTATGTGGCTACTCACTCTACTATTGGACTATTATTAATTAAACCTGTTAATGTCTACTTAAGTACTCAAGGAAAACATGAAGTTCTCCATAATTTCTATTTAAGACCAATGAGATTTAGATTTGTCTAGAAATTATATTTTGCAATAATGATATCCTTTGCTCCTTTCTTTCTTGGACTTTTTTTTTTCTCCCTTTTCCACAATTGTCACATGGATGCTACAAATATACAATTATAGTTAGGAAAATCAACACCACTTATTAATAACTTTTTATTTGTAATTTTCATTGATGAGATTATTTGGTTTCCTCTGCCTATCAATTTCGAGTCAATTTTTAGAGCGATAAAGAAGTTTTGATTGCTTTCTTGTAATGAAATAATTTGTGAATATGTTCATATATTGGCATGTATACATTTGTTGTATTTCGGAACCATATTTTTGCTTCAATCTTTTTGAACAAGAAGTATATAAACTACAGCTTAATTTTTCCTTTTCTTTTTTCTTCTAATTTTTTATGCACAATGAAATAGCTACATTTTTTTGCTTCTCTTGAGAAGATAGTGAACTTTAATGCACACGCGTGCACACACGAACAAATGGACAAAAATTGAAGCCATGAGGATATGAACTAAGGTAAAGATAAAAACTTTCACCATAAGCTTTTTTTCTATAATAATTATGTCAATTGAGGGTTGTGATTTTTTTTCTTGATTTCAAATTTGTTTTGTAATGTGTTAATGTGACTTTCTTAAAAGATAACATCTTTGTCATATATTTTTGTTGGATATGTCGTTTGATATTTGAGCAACTGGTGGTTGTTATCTGCTGTAAACTCTTGATTGTGATGTGCAAATCCATGATTCTTCTTTGTGGTAATTGAGGCTTCTTTGTAGCATTGATTTGGATTAGGTGAAGTCTTCTTTTATTTTCAAGGAGGAAGTGTTGTCTTATAAATTATTTTTGTTTAAATTTCTTTATTTCCCTTATTTAAAAAAAAATTATAGATTGATTAGTCAAAACTTCCTATTTGGCTTTGAAGCTAGAAAAAACTAGCTTTCAGGTACTGTGGGAGTGGCAGAGGTTTGGGCACCATCTAAGATTTTTGAGGGTCTGCTTGTTTTATTCTTTGATGTAGTAGGGTGTGGGGTGGTTGTGTTTACCACTGTTCAAATTTGTACCATCTCTGGATGACTATGAATCTACACTGAACCTACAGTAGTGAAGATTACAAATACCAATTGCAGAAAACCCACCATCACAATTTTTTTTTTTTAAAAAAAAAAATCAACATGCATTCAATTTTGAATTTGCACTAACCCAGACTTTTATTTTGTCCTCTGTAGCAGGTATAGCCATTCGGATTGGTAGGGTCCTTGATGTGGTGAAGCAGTAGGAAAACACCCAAGCTTGTATGGACAAAAGGTAGGTCTAGATGCACGAGGAACTAAAATCTGTGTAAGTGACATTGAGTGAATTGACAAAAAAAAATTGTAGATACTCATGAGGATGGAGGGCAAGGTAAGGATGAGGAACACGAAGAAGAGTTGGGAAGAGATGAAGATGATGATGATGAGGGAGATGAAGAAGAGTCGGGAACAGAAGATGTTGTAGACGGAGATGAATTTTTTAAGGAGCCTTGACCTTGCCCTTTTCATTGTTTTTGTAGTTGAATATGTTAATTTGTTTTGTGGTTGTCTCAATTTGTTTATGAACATTTTTTTCTTACTTTCGGGAGTTTAGTATGATATGTTTTGTGTATACAAAAAATTTTATGGTTGGTGTTTTGGTAAATATGACCACACCAGGTTGTTTATTGTTTGAAATATTGTAGTAAATTGCCTTTTTTTCCTTCTAAATTTTTGAAAATTGTCAATGAAGATAAGTTGCTTGATATTTGAAATATGATGTATTGTGCTTGATGTTTAATGTATTGAATAGTAATTTATGAGGAGATTGTGAATGATACAGTTTGTTAACTTCAGACCTTGTTATATAATCATTTCTAATTTGTAAGCCCATGGATTGACTAAACACTCAAGATTTTGGCTTTTAGTTGTTATTTGGATTATGGCCAATGGATTGGCCAATTGATTTCTATCAAGGTAGTGCATTTGGGGGACTCATTAGTCAATCAAGTCTTGCAAGAAAGTGGAAATACCAATCAATTGGCCAATCCATTTTCGAGCCCATGGCCATGACAAACAGAAAAATAAATAAATAAATAAATGCCAAAGTTTGACTTCCTTGTATAATTTGTTTGAATATTGTTTACAATCGAGTCATAGTGAATCTATTAGGCACTAGACATGTTACAATCTCACAATCAATTGGAGCAAATTCGTATTGTTTAAACTTGGTTGGCAATGGTACACAATCAATTGCTCTGTACTGTTGCAATATGGATGCATTTTGTGCTGAATAGATTGGCATCCATAATCAAATTTACAACCTTACACGTCAATAATCTACACATACATTGATTGCCAAAATCAAATTTACATCCACATTTCATCATCCATAAAGAAGCCATCCAAATTACATCATGTCTATACAAAAAATGGTCACTAATCACTTTTGGTGAAGGGGTTAATCATCCATGTCCATTTGTTGGCCTTTAAATCATCGCTGGAAAACCTTCACCTCCATCAAATTTCTCCGCACTATAGGAACATGAAATGGCCCCATCCACATATAAATCATCAAAAGTAGATGCTTCATTATGAAGGTCAACATTAGGAAGGTAAGGATATTGTTATCACATCACGTACCAAATATCTAAGATTTTTGAGATGGGATACATGCTCTCATTAGAAACTAGAGACATTTTTTTGTTCTTGTTAGAAACTCGATCTTTATACCACATTGTAGGCAACTTTTGTCTAGAATCATATATTGCAGAAATTTCCTTATATCGTTTATCTACAACAATCCAATTGAAGTGAGTAAAGAATTGAACAATGTTATGATCACCTTTTCAAATATCCCCTTAATGTTCCATTCAGACTTTCACTAAGTGTGTGTGTTTCGCATTCCTTCAATAAATACCCACTTCATATACATGTGCGCCCACTGCTATTTTTTTCTCCAAGTTCTTTTCATCCACTCATTCTCTTGTAAGTTGTATCTATCAATCAAAGAATTCTAAGCTTCAATTAATTCATGCTCATTCTCGTAGTCATAAATGCAAGCTTTTAAATTGCTACTAAATTTTGAACCAAAAAAGAAAAAAGAAAAATGGTACCATTTCATAGCATGGCAGGCACGACATCAGGGAATGATGGACCGCAGTGACCCCTTGTTTGCTGCCGTGCCTACCATTCTATGAAACGGTACCATTTTTCTTTTTTCTTTTTTGGTTCAAAATTTAGTAGCAATTTAAAAGCTTGCATTTATGACTACGAGAATGAGCATGAATTAATTGAAGAATTTTGAATTTGCACTAACCCAGACTTTTATTTTGTCCTCTTTAGCAGGTATAGCCATTCGGATTGGTAGGGTCCTTGATGTGGTGAAGCGGTAGGAAAACACCTAAGCTTGTATGGACAAAAGGTAGGTCTAGATGCACGAGGAACTAAAATCTGTGTAAGTGACATTGAATGAATTGACAAAAAAAAAATTGTAGATACTCATGAGGATGGAGGACAAGGTAAGGATGAGGAACACGAAGAAGAGTTGGGAAGAGATGAAGATGATGATGATGAGGGAGATGAAGAAGAGTCGGGAACAGAAGATGTTGTAGACGGAGATGAATTTTTTAAGGAGCCTTGACCTTGGCCTTTTCATTGTTTTTGTAGTTGAATATGTTAATTTGTTTTGTGGTCGTCCCAATTTGTTTATGAACACTTTTTTCTTACTTTCGGGAGTTTAGTATGATATGTTTTGTGTATGCAAAAAATTTTATGGTTGGTGTTTTGGTAAATATGACCACACCAGGTTGTTTATTGTTTGAAATATTGTAGTAAATTGCCTTTTTTTCCTTCTAAATTTTTGAAAATTGTCAATGAAGATAAGTTGCTTGATATTTGAAATATGATGTATTGTGCTTGATGTTTAATGTATTGAATAATAATTTATGAGGAGGTTGTGAAGGATACAGTTTGTTAACTTCAGACCTTGTTATATAATCATTTCTAATTTGTAAGCCCATGGACTGACTAAACACTCAAGATTTTGGCTTTTAGTTGTTATTTGGATTACGGCCAATGGATTGGCCAATTGATTTCTATCAAGGTAGTGCATTTGGGGACTCATTAGTCAATCAATTCTTGCAAGAAAGTGGAAATACCAATCAATTGGCCAATCTATTTTCGAGCCCGTGGCCATGACAAACAGAAAAATAAATAAATAAATAAATGCCAAAGTTTGACTTCCTTGTATAATTTGCTTGAATATTGTTTACAATCGATTCATAGTGAATCTATTAGGCACTAGACATGTTATAATCTCACAATCAATTGGAGCAAATTTGTATTGTTTAAACTTGGTTGGCAATGGTACACAATCAATTGCTCTGTACTGTTGCAATATGGATGCATTTTGTGCTGAATAGATTGGCATCCATAATCAAATTTACAACCTTACACGTCAATAATCTACACATACATGGATTACCAAAATCAAATTTACATCCGCATTTCATCATCCATAAAGAAGCCATCCAAATTACATCACGTCTATACAAAAAAATGGTCACTAATCACTTTTGGTGAAGGGGTTAATCATCTATTTCCATTTTAAATCATCGCTGGAAAACCGTCACCTCCATCAAATTTCTCCGCACTATAGGAACATGAAATGGCCCCATCCACATATAAATCATCAAAAGTAGATGCCTCATTATGAAGGTCAACATTAGGAATGTAAGGATATTGTTATCACATCACGTACCAAATATCTAAGATTTTTGAGATGGGATACATGCTCTCATTAGAAACTAGAGACATTTTTTTGTTCTTGTTAGAAACTCGATCTTTTTACCACATTCTAGGCAACTTTTCTCTAGAATCATATATTGCAGAAATTTTCTTATACTATTTATCTACAACAATCCAATTGAAGTGAGTAAAGAATTGAACAATGTTATGGTCACCTTTTCAAATATCCCCTTAATGTTTCATTCAGACTTTCACTAAGTTGTGTGTTTCGCATTCCTCCGGTAAATACCCACTTCATATACATGTGCGCCCACTGCTATTTTTTTCTCCAAGTTCTTTTCATCCACTCATTCTCTTGTAAGTTGTATTTATCAATCAAAGAATTCTAAGCTTCAATTAATTCATGCTCATTCTCGTAGTCATAAATGCAAGCTTTTAAATTGCTACTAAATTTTGAACCAAAAAAGAAAAAAGAAAAATGGTACCGTTTCATAGAATGGTAGGCACGGCAGCAAACAAGGGGTCACTGCGGTCCATCATTCCCTGATGTCGTGCCTGCCATGCTATGAAATGGTACCATTTTTGTTTTTTGTTTTTTGTTTTTTTTGTTTTTTTGTTTATAAGAGTTACATTAATTCTTATTTTATTATAACAAAACAATCTATCTACCAGTCGCCATCTTCCCTACCCCTCGAGCAAAAGGTCCCTGCTTTACATGGAGTAAAAAAAGCTAGCTATTTTTTTATTATTTTTCATTTATACATTTTTGTCTTCTCTCAAACGGATTGAATGGTGTTCTCTGTCTTTGCTTCACCGTCATTCTCTCGGATTTACAGACCATTATTGTTCAACAAACTGGTATGTATATCTCTCCCTCTCTCTATATATATGTATGTACGTATATATGTTTCGTATTTTATTTTGTATAGTGTATTAGTGGGTTCAACAAGTATAATGGTTTGGTTTGTTTTTTGTGAATGGAATGAGAAATACAATTGTATATTATAAGAAAAATTATTTATTATGTAATTTTTGTATACATGTTATGTATTTTTGTATAAATATTATATAATTTTTTTATGAGTTACGATAATTTATAATTCATAAATATTTTTTTTGGTAGCAATGTTACGTATTTTTGTGGTAATATTACACATTTTTATAACAATGTTATGTATTTTTGTAGCAATGTTATGCATTTTATGGTCTAAAAAAAGCTTCAATAAAAAAAATGTATAACCTTACTACAAAATACGAATTTAATTTTTTAATCATAAATTATCATAACCAACAAAAAAAAAAATGACATAAGATTTGTGACAAAAATATGAAACATATACCAAAAAATTATATAATAAGAGGGCATATGGTTCACATCTTTAAGTGTATCTGCCAAAGGGTTCCCTATATTATATAATATACTAATTCTAATATTATTTTGCAATTGTATATTATAGACACAATAAATTTCCAATGCTATTGTACTAGATTTCCGATGCTACTGTACAAATTACACATCTTTTTATTCCTCTTCACTATCCTTTAATTAATTTACATTATTAATTGATTTATTTGATTTTGTTGAATTGTTTAATTACTTAACATTTGAAATTATTTTATTACTTTTTTGCTCAAATTCTTGTTTTGTTTAATTTTTTTTTCCCTTCATGTTTGTTTGTGTTGAAATGGAGGATGGTATAATGGATGATGGTGGACTTGAGGGATGTATTGAAGAAATGAGAGGGTTGGTCAAGGATAAATCACCGTATCTTGATTTGGAGTTTCAATCAGAAGAAACTACATATGAGTTTTATAATGAATACAGAAAAATTGTGGGGTTTGGTATTAGAAAAGATTATTGTAACAAAAGCAAGAAAGATGGTGTTATGACTAGTAGAAAGTTTTTTTTTTTTTTAAGAAGGGAGAGAGGGAAAAAGAAAAACGGTACACGATGATAAAAAATCCTCAAAGTGAGACAAGAACAAATTGTAATGCATTCATGCATATATCTTTTAAGTAGGACTTGTCGAAGTGGATTGTGTCAGTTTGATAACAACCACAATCATCTTGTGAATCTTCCTCAATGTACTCATTTGATTTCATCTTAGAGAAAGGTATGTGATGCTCAGGGTATGAATATTGATATAGCTGATGATACTGGAATATCTCTTAAGGCTTTACATGATCTTATTAGGCTAAGTTTGGCATTTTTAAAAAAAATCAAAAAGTCACTATCCTATTTAAGTCACATCATCTTATTTAAGTCATATCACCTCTCTACCACATCACTTCAAACCCAACCCATATTTCATAAAAAGTCAAAAAATACACTTATTTAGAACATCCCAAACAACCTCTTAGTGTTATAGTAGGAGGAAACTACAACAAAAGTAATCTATGGTGACAAAAAGTACTGAAGAAATCACTAAATAAGAATAATCCGTGATGAATTATAAAATTTTGTCACATATAATAAAAAAATAAAAATAATAGGTGACAAAATTTATTTTTGTCAACAAATACTTCTTTTTAGGTGAGGAAAAATTAAAATTTGTCACCGAAAGTATTCCCGCTAATTTTTTTTGGTGGCACCAAAATTTTGAGACTTTTGGTGATAAAAAAATTTGTCACCAATTATAAAATTATTACAGTAGTAAGGAATATATTTTTGTCACCAATAATTATGTGTATATTTTTGTTGAGAAACTTGATTTTAAATATTTTAAGACTATTTGGTGAGAAATATATTTTTGTCCCTAATAAATCTTAATATTTTGAGACTTTTTAGTGAGGAAATTATTTTGTCACTAATTTTGGAGGAAAAATTTTCACATATTGGGCGGTAATGGAAAAAAATAAACTACTAACTTTTTTTTCTCTTTTATTTTTGTTTATCAGTTTTCCTCTCTCTCTCTCTCTCTCTCTCTCTAAACAAAACACAAGTTAATTAGCTTTCTAAGGAACCTATGGTGACGAAAAATAGTGAAGAAAATAAATTTTGTCACTAAATAAAAATAATTCGTGACGAATTATAAAATTGTCACATATAATAAAAAAGTAAAATAATAGGTGACGAAATTTATTTTCGTCAATAAATATTTCTTTTTAGGTAAGGAAAATTTAAATTTCATCACCAAACGTTTTCCCTCTAATTTTTTTGGATGGCGCCAAAATTTTGAGACTTTTAGTGAGAAAAAAAATTTGTCACCAATTATAAAATTATTAGGGATTTCGTCACCAATAATTTTAAATATTTTTTTTAAAAAAATTTATTTTTAAATATTTTGAAACTATTTGATGAGAAATATATTCTTATCGTCAATAATTTTAATATTTTAAAATTTTTACTGACAAATTATTTTATCACAAATTTTGAAGGAGAACTTTGAGATTTTGGCGGTAATAAAAAAAAAACCCTACTAATTCCCCCTAAATCCTTCTTTTTTTTTTTTTGGTGCTTTAGTTTTTCTCTCATCCCTCTCTTGCAAAACAAACATTCTCTGCGTTCAGGCCTCCGTTAGCTTGTTCTCCTCCTTTAGCGCCGCCACCGACATCACCCGTTCTCCTCCTTCAATGTTGCCACAAGTAGGATTGGTTAGCGAATGTGCCGACCAGGTAGACCTGTCTGACCCGACATGTTTTGGGTGTATAGCGATCCCGGGTTTACCCTTGTTGTATAGTGATCCGGACATGTGTCCGTGGATGTTGGTAGTTGTTTATTATCTTGTTTACATCCTTTCTTACTTTGTATTTGAGTTATAGGATGTGTTGATGCTCGGGGACCAAAACGCGCATTTCGGGGTCCCGAAAATGGGCTGTTAAGCACCGAAAGTGGCATTCGGCCACGAAGTGGGTTTCTCTGACCCCAGTGTTCCTCAAAAGGGATTAAATAAGAAGTATGCCAAAAATTAGAGCAAACGGAGATGGTTAAGCGGTCCCGAACCGAGGCACACGGCCTGACGGCTCCGAAAACCGGGAACCGGACTCCGAAATGGGCAAAATGGCCTACGGCCACCAAATGTAGCCTATGGACATTGAGAGATGGTCTACGGGACCTCTCCCTTCCCTCGGAAAAAG